TTTTGAGACAGAGTCTCACTCTGTTGCCTAGGCTAGAGTGCTGTAGCATCAGCCTAGCTCACAGCAACCTCAAACTCCTGGGTTCAAGCGATCCTCCTGCCTCAGCCTCCAGAGCAGCTGGGACTGCAGGCATGCACCACCATGCCTGGCTAATTTTTTATGTATATATATTTTTAGTTGTCCAGCTAATTTCTTTCTATTTTTAGTAGAGACAGGGTCTTGCTCTTGCTCAGGCTGGCCTCGAACTCCTGAGCTCAAACAATCCTCCCGCCTCGGCCTTCCAGAGTGCTTGGATTATAGGCGTAAGCCACTGCGCCCGGCCAGCAATTAACTTCTTTTTTTCTTTTTCTTTTATTTTAGCGTATTATGGGGGTATAAGTGTTAAGGTTACGCATATTGCCCATGCCCCTGCCCCTCTTCTGAAACAACAGTTAGTTATTACTGTGTACATTATCTAAATACTTTGTTTAGACTATTTGATTCAATCAAACTAAGAAATCATTTTAGAATTGAAAAATCACAAAGTTTGTTATTCTTTTCCAGTCTATAAACGAGAAGAAAAAGTGAAGATCAAGTTAACTATAGACTAAACCTTTAAGCTTCTCATGTTTTCATGGAGGAAGCTATTCTATTTAAACAAAAAAATGTTATAACCACATTTATCACAAAAACAGGTATGTTGTTTTATGGAAATGATATATATGCCAGCTATGCAGTTGTATTATAGCCAGAAAAGGCCAAGAACTTCCAGTTTTCTGAGCAGTTGGCATATCCACAGCAATTACATCTAGAGGAAAAGCTTCTTTAAAAGGGCTTAGGAACAGAAAAAGTCCTCTGACATTCTTAGAAGCATGATACAAAGTAGTTGTCAAATGTTTCTTAATGTCAGCTTTCAAATGAACCCCTCTGTTAAATGTCCTGGATAACACTCATTCTGGTGCATAAACAATTCTGAAAACAAACAATGCCCTTTGTAAGTCAGCACTTGGTAATACTCTTTCATGAAAAAATTCAAACTGTACCAAGAGTGCTCATGAAGATGACGCACAAGTTGAGAAGTCAGTTCCCTCGATAGCCGCAGAATACGCGCATCCACCGTCCACCCCCGGCCACAATTGGCTAGAGCGATGGTGGTAACCCACACGAGATGTACGGTGTGAGAGCAAGGAATTTAGATAACGGTTTATAATGCGCACCCTTGCATATTTTTCAGCTACACATAGAAGATAATTCAACTATATCCTGCATCAGTTTTTTGTGTAATGAGAGGATACATAGAGGAATTCGCGAAGGTGAGATGAGCCTCACCATGTCAAAGCAAAGTTCTGTAGTTTGAGCGCAAGGCATTTGTAGGTGATGCATTATGCAATAATCTTCTGCCATTCAACATAATCATATCTGCTTCAATGTCATTGATATCCATCTTTACTATCGTAGAAGGGCTCCTATTGGTGACTACATGCGCCAGTAGCTAAGTGGCTCAGGGATGACAACTTCTCTCTCAGAATTGCTGAGGAAGACAAGGAACTATGCGAAGTGAGTCATTTCTATACGAGTGAGATAGTGGTATATATAGGTATCGACCCATATATTCAACCCGAGAAAAATACTGCAAAGGATTGTCATCAGAGCGCGCACACCTGTATTACACCGAACCATCTGGAGCTCTCTCACGATTATCATTAACTTCATGGCATTCAACCAATAACTCTATAGTTCACTATCACCTATCAAAGCGCATAACCGAGTGAGATATTTGGTTTAGAGTGCATATTCAGAGTAGGGTTCGCCAAGATCACATTCAGTATAATCGTCTCCCTCTGATACTAGTTGTGCAGGTGTATATGTAGAAATATGTGCTTGTAGATCATCACGCAAGCTTGTCTTCGGCATCGACAGACAGGCTTCTACAAAGTTAGGTGCCCTATTCACACGCGCCCACAATCAACATCATTTCCCTCTGTGCGCATACGTCCTTGACAAACCAGCGATTTGAAATAAGAAACGTTATTTGATGCTTTGCGCCACTTATAACTGACACACTAAGAAATAGAATCTCCTTGTAGTTTAATTGCAGTCTTTTACTTATGAGAAGGTGCGAGTCATTGTTATTGCATGTATTTATGAGCCACCTGCACTTTCTGTTTCGCTTAGTGATAACCTCGTTTGGTTTGTGTCCTCTACAGACTTTCTACTTTGAATTGATCTTTTCTGTGCTCTCCCTGAGCATGCCAATGAACCTATATCACACATTTACACTCATCGAGCCCAACACGGCTTAGCTCGTGCGTGATTTGGGTATAGCAGGTCTCCTACTGCGACTCACGAGTACCCCCGACGCATACAGGTAGACATGCATACACCCTATATCTCTTGGCCTGCACACTAAACTTTTTCTGTTTATAGGTTCGCACGATTCTCTCTAAATCGGAGGATAGTTAAGAGCACAATTAGCCTTTTAGCCACAAGTTCAACTATGATGCGGTGTTGTTGCCAACAGCATGTGGTCTTTCCTGATCCTGGATTGACGTTGAAGTTGTGTGAACTTCTGTCTTAATGGAGTCCGTATATATTTCTTCGTCGAAAACATATTGAGTAAAGAGTTATATCCACAAACATTCTGGGAATATATTTATGAGTTCTTTTTTGTTGCATCTTTTTTTGTAGCTGGTTGGATCTACAGTTGGACCAGGATATAAGTGTAGTATAAGACATGCGCCCATGGGACAGGACGGTGGCGGAGCGCGTGTAGGGCTCACGCCTCTCAATCCTAAGATCTTGAGAGGTCCTGACTGGAGCGCGGAGGGAAAGCGGATGCTCAAGGTCAGGAGTTCAAAACAAAACGACCTGAGCAAGGATGCAGAGACCCGCGTGGGTGCTGGGGACTCCATCAACAGGAAGAAATTAGGGTGTGTGGGCCGCCACAGCATGAGGTTCTAATATGAGCTATCGAGAATCCAAAAAATCATAGTATAAAATAGAAGTGGCAGCCGCGGACATTGGCCCTCCTGTTGGCTATTCTTCTGTCTTCTTTAGAAAAGTTTCTGTTCAAGTCCTTTGCCCACTTTTTAATAGGGTTATTTGATTTTTTCTTACTGATTTTCATGAGTTCTCTACAAATATTTTTTTAAAAATTGGCCGAATGTGGTGGCGTGTGCCTGTAGTCCTAGCTACTTGGGAGACTGAAGCAGGAGGATCACTTGAGCCCAGGAATTTGAAGCTGCAGTGAGCTATGATCATCCTACTGTACTCCAGCCTGGCCCACAGAGCAAGACCCAATCTCAAAGAAAAATAGAACTTATTTATTAATTTCTTGTTTTTTGAAATACATGTTTCTAAATATATATGTTTTTCTGATCATAAAAGTAAAATATATTCCTTATAGAATATTTTGAAAACATAGTAAAGTACAGAGATGGCAAAAATTACCCAAAACGACCACTGTTAACATTTTTGACATTAATCTTATTAGTTTTTTCTATGCATATTTGTATATAGTTGAGATCACATTTGGTATCCTACATTGTACAATTAATAATATAGCACAAGTATTTTCCCATACTACAAAAACTCTTTATTTTGGCATAATATTCTCTCATATGGCTATAATAAAGTATATTTAGCCATTTGCCAATTGTTGGAAATTTAGGTTCATTTTAATTTCGTGCTATTAGAAACAGAGTTTTGATACACATCTTTTGCTAAATTATAAATTCCTTGAGGTCAGGGACGTGTCTTCACCAATTTCTAGCACGCAGCATGGCATACAGTAGGCTCTCAATAAATGTTCTTAAACTAACAAAATAATTCTTTGTTTTCATTTGGAGTTATTTCATAAGCTTCAGCTTCTTAAAGTAGAATCACTGGGCCAAAGGGTATGAATAATTTTTAAGACATAATGCTAAATTGCTTTTCATGCAAGTTGTACTAATATAACTATCACTAGCAGTACCTTCCTTAATGCATGTATTATCTCAAATTTTTTTCCTAATTTGATAAAAATGATGTATCTGTTGCATTTACTTGCATTAAATTGCTAAGCAGG